TCTAGTTGTCAAGCTGTTATGATCACCCATATACGATAGCATGATGCACACGTCTTTGTTAGGGGCGAGTTGGAGAATGGGTCTTGGTGTTCTGACTACTTTAATACCTCCTGTTGAACAATTCAGACAACTTACGTCTTCTTATTGCTTTGTCTAAATTCAGAAACGGAACTAATTGTTTGAAATAATAATACTAATAATATCATTTTTTAGGATGAAAAAGAAAGATTGAACAGAATATTTTTGCTACTTATGACATTCGAAAATTGTTCTTTAGTAAATATTTTCTCTTTTCTCTATTTATCAATAAAACTCTCTCGTACCCTTCTTTATACAATAACAATATAGCGTGGTAGAAATATAGTTACTTTGAAAAGTAGTTTCTCACGCTAACTATGTCTGTTTACTTGTGCATAACTTTTCATGGCTAAATAGAATGTTTTTGTTCTAGTCACTTGTATAAAAATATTGTTATTCTGACGACAGCCTGTAAATGAAACAAACTGCTGAATGATTAAAGCTTCTTTTTACACTCATTTATATAAGTATATATGGTCGGAAGAGGAAGTGTAATTTATCTCAATGTCAGATGTATATTTTTTATTAGAATTTAGATGTATTCCACGAATTCACTTCTTGAAACCACCTGATAGATGGCTAGGTTAGGACTCTCGCCGATCGTGCATATGATCCGGGGGTCGATCCTCGGCGAAATACAAGAATAGAGTCCCAGGATTCTAAATGTCCCAATGACCTTGTGAATGTTCCAATGACCCTGAACGCATGCTAGTCATTGGTTGAGGAAGCTTGCAATTATTTTAGCGCTAAAATGAACTCTGTTCATGAGCTCAGATGCAAATTCCATCCAGATCACGTTTTCCAGTGCTGCCTAGATAATGGATTGATAGGACGTACTTGGATATGCGGTTATGGTGCTTCCATGAACCTCCAGTCGTATAACCAGGTCACTGATGGATATGTATTCAGATGTACACAGTGTAGGAAGCGAATAAGTGTGCGTACTGGTAGGCGACACTCTGAATTAATTGTCTTCTAGGAACTTTCTTTGAAAAGTCGAAACTGTCTTTGACCAATATCTTGTTTCTGTCCAATTACTGGGTTTTAAAGTCCGGGGTGCGATCTACTGCGGCTCAAACAGCTAATACGTTGACGTCTACTGAAACCCCTCTACAAAATTGGGAGATTTTTTTGTCTCATATTAGAGGAAAATATCTTGTTTAATGTTTTTTATGCTTTTTTAATGTAAATATACACAAAATTTTATGCAAAAATCGTCATTTTTCCTGATTGGTCGGCTCAAGGTCACTCGTGTGGTTGCACCCCTTGAGACTCTATTGTAGAACTTTGCCCAATCCTCTGCCAAAGCACACCTGATATCAATGGCCGGTCTGCAAAATTTGGGCTACCGATATCACATGCTGAAAATTCCATAATTGTACCAAGAATATGGTGTGGAATCAAGCTATAATCAAAATAAAATAAAAAAATAAAAAAATTTTTGCTTATAAAATACTGTAGACAATATAAGCCTGGATGACGATTTATAAACGTCCTTCTTATATACATTTGTAAACCTTACTGCTTATTTTAATTTTACAAATCTGTTTGGCTACTTCTAGAAATAGGACAAGAATAACAGTGAACTTAGGAGTTCCTTAATTTGTACTGACTTTAGAAAAGGATAATGCGGATTAAAATGCTAAAAGTGCATAAATGTGGTTGAAAAGCTTGAATAGAGGATGATATCGGTCAGTGGCATAGTGGTTAGGACGCTCGCCGACCATGCACATAGTCTGGGGTTCGATCACCGGCCGACGCACTCCTTTACCTCTCTAAGCCAGAAATAATGCTGGTGAAGAGGGAAGGTTGGGCATGAGGCTAGCAGCCCCATCCTGTAAAGTAAACACTGCTACAGAAACTTCAAGCCACTAGCTTGAAGCACTATGTTCCACTGGGGAACGTGAAGGAAAAAAATCGGTCTATATAACTTTTCAAATATGTTATAATAATGGATTGCAACAGGCCATTTTATTGATTCAGCTATATGACAAGTTCAAGTGCGAAGTAAACCACAACAGAGAACGCAGTCAGGCCTCTGAAGTGAAGACAGAAGTAAGACAAGACTGCTTATTATAACCCACGATTGTATACCTAACTTCGGTAAACTGGATTATGCTTCAGAATATGGGGAGCAATAAAATAGGTTAAGAAAATTCTAGAAGATCTCCACTTAGTAGACAATTTATGTCTGGTGTCACACAAACACAAGGACCTACAAGTGAAAAAGTAGGGAGAAGAAGCAGCGAGGACGGGACTTCAAGTGAACGTACAGAAAGTGGAGGTGATGAGTATAATCTATCAACAACAACAACAACAACAAACACCGATCACTGTCAACCGAACAAATTTGAAATACCTCAGTTCTTTCACTTATCTAGTTAGCATCGTTTTGGTTACAAGTGGCCGGCACAGATGAGGACGTTAAAGCTGCCAAGCATTGGAAAGGCAAGACACACATTCATCTCTCTAAAATCAGTTTGGAAATCTTCTGAACTTAGCAAAAACAACAGAATTTCGGATTTCCAATACCACTGTTAAGCCAGTCAGCTCTTCTATATGGGTCAGAAACTTGGAGAACGCGTTGCAAATAGCGTTTCCAACAGACTATTTCAGCCTTTTATCAACAGCTGCCATCACTGGTGCCATATTGAAGTTGAGACGTCTGGTAGGGAAGAATTAACAACAAGGAACTCTGGAAATGAACCAATCGACAGCCTACTGACCAAAAACTATGACTTAGGAAATAAAGATGGATCGGACACACACTGAAGAGACCGTCGAGCGCTATGGTACCCTAGGCCATGGCTTGAGAGGACCCCGAATGGAAACGGACGAATTGGGCTTTGCATCAAAGGTAACGTGGAGGAGATGAAAGCTTATGGGCAATCGTGGAGAAAAGTAAAGGCGACTGCCGAGAATAGGATGAAATGGAGATCTTCCGTTGAAACCCTATGATCCACTCGGAACCCGTGGTAATAATAATGACAATAATATTAGTAATTTATGCGTAAATCAATCAATTTCCATTAGACCATCTAAGTAGATAGAACTGCTGGTCACTTGTAAGGATTTGTTACCACAGTATCGCTGAAACATTAATTCAGAAGAGAATTGAAAGCTAAAACAAACGTTTCAATGGAATGAACTGTGGAATAAGTTTCACGTGTACTTTACTGAAGCATTCTATGAACAGAATTCATAACAAGGTTTGACAGATACCGTAAAAATTCAGTCTGCTTGATGGTATCCTCTTTTGAAAAACAAAAAGAAAGTGAACTGGATCCTGTTGTATTTTACTTCAGCGTAAATTGTGGCACTCTTAATATGATGAAAATGAAACATGAAGACACCATATCAACAGCAGATCAAGCATTTGCAGCTTTATATAAGACAGACTGGTTTCAAAACAGAATTTTGCAAAGAATTGCAGCAGTTCGAGTTGCTGCACTCCTTAGAACACACAGAGCTAGACAAAAAAGAGAGAAAAAGAGATTCAGAGGAACTATAATAGGGAAAAAATGTACACATGAAAGGATATCAGCATGGAAAATCATGGGGGTCTAACAGATATGGGAGACTACAAGAAGAGAATTATGCATCTGCATCACTGAGAACAACTTTGGTTTGTGTTAAAAACTGTCTTCAACTACTGAATCTTAGAAACCCGAGGAACCCATTTAGGCAGTCTGCACCACCCTACATGGTTCAAACTAATTTTGAGATTTCATGGATTGGTTCCAAGTTTTGGTTTGACAATCCCTAACTCTTTTCCAACTTGATCTTATGTCAGCTAACACTGCCCGTCGAGGAAGGCAGTGGGTGATCATGCGGAACACACTTACTAGTCATATCAGTCAGTGGAGCTTCACAACCTCATCGATTGACTTCCTCTCCTTATCCAACACTCAACACCTAACCTCAGTATTAGCCACATCATCATAGAACCCAAACACCTGTGATAAGGTAGAGATAACCTTTTTATGTCTTCCACTTTCAATGGCCATGCCTTACAGCCATAAACGAAGACAGAGTGAAATGTTGAGCAGCACACAAGTCCATTAATCAATAGCAGGTAGCATGTCTATCCCAGAGATAACGTAAGTTAGTAAATGCCACAGGTGACTTTTGTATCCATTTTGACATTTCGTCAGCAGTGAGCCCATTGGGTTTGACGAAACTTCTTATATGTGTGAGGTGGTCAACACTCTCTACCAGTTATCTCCCTATCTTTAAGCTAGGAGTGAGTCAATGTAGTCCATTCCTGTAGCCTGATCATCTTATATTTGTCGGAAGCAAATCGCATGCCTAACATTCGAAGATTGCTACCCGAGGTGTTCAGAAGACTCTGCACTATATCAGCATCTTAACCTAGGAGGACTATATCATCCGCTAAACTATTCCCTGATTGCAAGTCAATCCCTAAGTCTTTGAAGTCAGTTAGGATGAATTCCATTAGTACACCTACGGTGAAATTAAGGAGAATTAGGGCAGTGGGCATCTCTGATGGACACCACTGGTTGTCCGTCATAAAATTAATATGACTACTTATGACAGATTGCTTAAAATACTTGCATCATTATTATTAATTTCTTGGGTTCTAAGTGGAAAATAAGGCTTCAACGGAATATTTCCATTACATCCTTTACTCTGCAGTCGACTTTAGATGCCCCCAAGCTTGCCTATAAGCTTTGATCTTCTCCATGTCACCTTTGAACTCAAAACTTGTTATTCCTCACTTAAGCTCCAACTGAGGTTATGCCAGCATGCAATGTCACCTGCCAGTCTGATCAATGTGTGTCTGGCCCATCTACGTTTTCTTCGGCATATTTGTTGGACGATGCGTTCTTAGTTGGTTTAAAGTATTCACATCATACTGTCCGTATTTTTTACTTATTTTTTTTATTCCTACAAGAATAACAATGGCAGTTTATCATAAACCTCCGCCACGTAAATCTACACGTAGCCTACAGCTAATTGAGCGTATGCGAAAGTCAATTGGACCACGTTTTTATCCTGGTTCTGAAGATCCTAGCCACTCAGATGAATCATTCACCCTGGATGATTCTAGTGATGATGAAGATATTTCACAGCAAAGCACTGATATCATTGATAGGATAATAGAATTCCCGCTGGATACAATGCCAATCGGTATACGGAAAAAACAAACAGAAAAGGCAGAGAGTAAAAAAATTCTTGGATTCGGTATGAAATCATCACGTTTCCCTAAAGCATCAAGTAATTTGGTAAGATTAAATGAATAATTTTATCCACTGATTTGTGTTTTCTGTCTTTATTTTTATTGAATTAATTGTTGTTATAAAAACAAAATCCCATAGAGAATTACAAACATTTCTACTTACTACTAAAGTGTCAGTGTTTGTAGGGAATATCACTGATTTCAAGCCTTATCACACGGATTCCTGTATCAATGAGGGAATTACTGAAAATCACGGAGGAGTACAGGATAACTGTTTCGTTTGCAGTTCGGGACTCTTCAGCAGTACGTAACCATTTGCCTCCTGGGGATTGACAGAAATTAGAATTGATGGCTTGCCATTGGCGGCGGGCTTAAAATTTGCGCCAGTGTTTATTGAATATAATTTTTCTTACAGGATTTTCATCATGAGCTGACATTAGTTAGAGAACCACTGGAAAACCTGGGAGTACTGGACAGCTGTTTCGTCAGCCTGGTTTGGGACTCTTCATCAGTACGCACCCACCGGGATTCGAACTCACTAGTGACTTGCCCTATTCAGGTAGGTAGTTACCTGGGGTTCTAGTGAGAAGTCGTGACCAGTAGGGTGCAGCAGGTCGGGTGTGAGGAAAAATACTCGCCGAAGACATTGGCTAAGGGTCGCGCTATGTCGTGAATTGGCAGAAGTTAGAATTCATGGACCATTGGATCGGGTCCCAGTGGCTTAATGGTATACGAGCTCGCCTTGTAACCAGAAGGTCCTGGGTTCGAACCCTTGCGGTGGGTGCATACTGATGAAGAGTCCCAAACTAGGACGAAACAGCTGTCCAGTACTCCCAGGTTTTCCAATGGTTCTTTAACCGATGTTAGCTCATGATGAAAATCCTGTAACCAATCAAATCCCTACAAACCAACACTTGAATAATTTTTCTTGTTCATATTATCTACCCTGGCGAGTATTTCAAATGTTTCACCAGTTTCTTCTACTAAACTTGAGAAAAAGCCTGTGCTTGGGTGGCAACGTATCCCAATACATGAGATATCTTTTCCTGAGTTGTGTCCTTGATTCTCAAAATGTATTCCAGAAGTTTTAATAATAATAATAATCGATATTCATTCAAATGTCGTGCATTTATCGAAGGAGATAAAGAAAAGATATCATCATAAGGGATTGGTTTATGCTTCAGTTCAGATAGCACTGTGGCATACGATCTATTGTTTTATTTAAGGATCCTGGACGAAAAGAAAATAGCATGCAATCAATTCTGCTGAAAATTCCGTACATTATGTAAACAGTGTTTAGAATACAGCTTTTGTTAATTAATTATTGTTGCATCTCAGGGGTTGAATGGTCAACGAGCTTGCCTTCTAACCTGAAAGTCATAGGTTCCACCTCCGGCGGTGTCCTGTGTGTGTGTGTGTACTACTCAGTAGTCTCAGACTAGGACAAAACAACTGTCCACTACTCCTTGATGGTTTTCAATGGTTCTCTAACTGATAGCAGTCCGTAACCAAACTTGAAGCTCCTTATTTAATATAAAGAATAATTATAAATTCAAATGTCTTGTTGAGCTTTTGCAGACACCTCATAAAGCATTGTTTCAAGTTTGACCACGGATTGACATCAGTTACAGAACCCCTGAAAACCAGGGGGTACTGGACGGCTGTTTCGTCCTGGTTTGGGACTCATTAGCAGTACACATCCACCGGGGTTCGTATCTAGGATCTTCCAGTTACAAGGCAAGCTTGTAGCTGATTTAGCCACTGGAACCCGACTCAGTCATCCACGAATTCTAAATCCTAGTAGTTCATGGTCTTTAGCGTAACCACCAAATAATGTTCTCATTCCGGACTGGATGGACCATATTGGTCACGACTTCTCACCCGAACTGCAGGTGACTTTATCTTGTACCTAGTCACTGGCAAGTATCAGCATTATTTTCAATAGTTAGTCTGTAAGGATAAGGACCATTGAAAACAGGGGAGTACTTGATAGTACCGGGCACAGAGTTCGAAAATAGGATGAAACAGCTGCCCAATAATCAAAGCTGGTTTTCCAATGGTTTTCTAACTGATATCAATGCATCGTCAAACTTGAAACCAGTAAACTCCCTACAAACTTACTGTCGAAAATCATCAAGTATTATTTAAATAAGTGTAATGCAACTGCAAATAAGGATTTTCTGTTGATATTGAAACTACTAAGTGCCTGAATGTATAACTTTACTGTTAATACTTGTTAACCTAACCTGGCTGCTATATTACCAAGCACATTTTCATTGTACTAATGAGTGAATGACTGATCGACGTGTCAATGTAAAGACTTCTCCCAAAGTGCCTCACTTCACGTTAATATGCTTCGTCAGAGAAGTACATTTAAAATAGCAGGGAGAAGTGTAATGCGATTTCAGTGGATGAAAAATTTTAGAAAGAAGGAACTATTACGTAAAGTGCACGGATGATTTTCAGATAATGATGATGTCGGCAAATAATTTTCTAACCCATGTTGAGATCCTATCAGTATGCAGTCTGATAGAACTACTTGAAGTGAAGTGAAGGGGTCGACAGATTCAGCGATTTCACTACCTGTTAATTAGACTAGAGGTCCGTGCTGATCATTTTTGCAGCATCATCTTATATTCAACAAGAGCAAGTCGTATGCAAGACATACAGTAATTTTTGATGTGGTTGTGTTCCCTGAGCTGGATAGTCAATTTGTGAAGCTTTCATCGCTCTACTAGATGACATCTTCAGCGTTTACTTCAATTTATTGAAGAGAGCTTTTAGATTTCTTCACGAGTTTATTAATCATTTCTCCTGGTGGGCGACCTTGACCATGACTCTTTGGTTGTTTTTGTGTGTTTTCACACCCTCTAGGCTACTTGTATTGGAGCTGATTGTTTCTTTGACTTGAACTTTGACCCTCTGTTTGTGAGGTTTCTTTCTTATCGGTTGGTATATTTTGTCTATTTCGATGTGTCTATTGATTGATGATTCACTGGAATACCAGGCAGCCTTCTAAAAATTCTCTAACATTCTTGGTTTTTCCTCTGTCTAATATTTGAGCGTTGTCCCAGTCAAATCGATGTCGGTGGTTAAGACTCAACAATGAAAGAAGATAAAACAAACGTCATCTACTAAATAAATTGTAACAACTGCGAAAAACACTACATTAGCCAAAGTGGACGTCCCCTTCGTCTTCGTATCCATGACCATAAACTAGTCGTCAAAAGACATGAAATCCACTCCCTCATATCACTACACACAGACAACCACGGACATCAGTTCGACTAAGACAACGTTCAAAAACTAGACAGAGGAAAAACCAAGAATGTTAGAGAATTTTTAGAAGGCTGCCTGGTATTCCAGTGAATCATCAATCAATGGACACATCGAAATAGACAAAATATACCAACCGATAAGAAAGAAACCTCACAAACAAAGGGTCAAAGTTCAAGTCAAAGAAACAATCAGCTCCAATACAAGTAGCCTAGAGGGTGTGAAAACACACAAAAACAACCAAAGAGTCATCGTTAAGGTCGCCCACCAGGAAAAATGATTAATAAATTCGTGGAGAAATCTAAAAGCTCACTTCAATAAATTGAAGTAAACGCTGAAGATGTCGTCTAGTAGAGCGATGAAAGCTTCACAAATTGACTATCCAGCTCAGAGAACACAAACACATCAAAGTCAAACATCTGAGCTACAAGTTTTTTATTTATTTTGCCCGGAGACTGTGTTCCATCAACGTCTATGCGAAAAAAGACTCTAGATCAACAAGAACGTTTCCTGGTAACAAATGAATTAATGAGACACTAAAGTCAATTGAAGTCGAATACGTGTGTTGACGTTGAGTACTCTTCAGGGATTCTGGTTGTCTATCCTTCATATAACAACCCTCCATTAGCTCTTACGTGTCTCCATGGGTTCAAATGAAGTGTCTCGATTAATAGAGTATATTTTCTCAGCATTCTATTTACAGTCAGATACTGCCACAACACCAGAATCACATAATGCCTTCATATTGAGAAATATGGCAAGTATTAGCATACAGCAAGCATAGCTACTTACTAGAGCATGCTAAAGAATGAAGACGTGATCACTGTATTATCCTTTGGACAGTGATCTACCTGGATTTACCGGATTTGTTTTTTTCGAAACTGTTTTATTCAAGCTGATCTCTCTGTGATTATCACATGCAGATTCGTTTTCTTCTTTATATATAATCTGGGATGGCCAACATTGTGTACCTAGACAACGGTACTATCTGGGGTTCTCATACATCAGTTAATATCTTAGTTAATCTAGTCAATAACTCATCGCTACCATTCTTTAATAATATTGGAGTCACACTATCACGTCCTGTTACTTCGCGGCCTTTTAGATTGAAAACAGAATTTGAAAAATTGTATGCGATTGAAGGACTAATGTTTACATTATATTTTGGCAGGGGTTAAGTGGTAAGCAGCTGTAGTATAGCTGTATTCAAGTTTAACAACTCCTCAAAATGCTGTATTCATCTCTTCTGAGAGGTTATTTAATTTCTACCATGTTTATACTAAGTTAGGACAAATGATCACCTTTCATAGAATAGACGTAACTATTTGTTCTTCTTCTGCTTACGCCATTACTGCAAAGGGTTTGGAAAGAAGGAAAGGCACCTACAGATTGGAAGAAAGGCTACCTCGTCAAGCTACCAAAGAGGGGTGACTTAGGCCTCACTCTTCAAGAACTGTCGTGAAGTCATGCTCATGTCCACGCTAAGTAAAACACTGAGGCGCATCATCCTGGAGAGAATAAAGGATGAAAGGGATGCAGAACTCCACCCACTCCATGAAACAAGCTGAATTCAGGAAAGGCAAATAATGTGCTGATCAAATTGCAACTCCACACATCGTCATCACAGAACAAAGCATAGAATGGCAGTCAAATCTCACTCTACATTAACTTCGTCGACTTTAAAAAGGCCTTCGACAGACAGCGTTGATCGAGAAGTAGTTTGAGAACTGCTTCAACACTATGGCGTGCAACGCTTAAGTCTTTCTCGACCTCATTCAACAGCTGGCTGTATGAGAATGCCTGGGCAGTGTCAGGTGATCCACAATGGAACACTCAGTGAGGCATTCGAAGTGAATACAGGAGTAAGACGAGGCGGGCTGGCAGTCTGCCTATTATCACCCACGATAATATCCTTATTGTGGTGGACCGGATTATGCGTCAGACTGTGCGCAGGGAATGAGAAGACAGGAATATGTTGGACTGACCGATAAGAAGACTCTGGAAAATGTGTATTTCGCAGATTATATATGTCTTATGTCACACAAACTCGAAGACTTACAGGCAGGCGAAAACTTACAAACCGGGAGAAGAGACTGGCAGCCGGCGAAGACAGGACTGCAGGTGAACTTAGAGAAGAAGGAGGTGATGAAGATAACCAACTAACATCAGCAACATCAACAACCAGCACCAATCACCATCAAATGGAGAGATTTAACAGAGGTTACCCGCTTCACTTGTCTAGGAAACATTGTTTCAACTACAGGCAGTCGGCACGTATGAAAATGTCAACACCAGCCAGCCAGCTAGTCAGAATCGGAAAAGCAAGATACGCCTTCATCAACCTGAAACCAGTTTGGAAACCTTCTGCCCTCAACATGAGGAACAAGATTCGCGTTTTCAACACCAATGTCAAGTCGGTCCTTCTATATGGGTCAGAAACTTGCACTACGTGTGTATCACGAAAAGGATTTCCAACAGGATAGTGCAGACCCTCATCGACAGCTGCCAACCTTCGCTGGCTTCATACCGAAAATCATATGGCCAGAAAGAATTAGTTGCAAGAAACTCGACTCTGGCTGGTCACAAACCAACTAATAGTCGATTTCTCAACAATTATATAGAAGAAAGTGGAGATAGATGTGTCGGGCACACACTAAGACATTGTGAGCTATGCAGGTCATCGCTCGAATGGAATCCATATAGGATGCGACGAGTGGGTCGTCGGTGCGAGGGTGACATGGAGGAGATCATGTGGGGAGGAGCAGATGAGAAAGTTTGGGTAGTCGTGGGTCTAGCTAGCTGAAGAGGAAGGCAGAAAATAAATCAAAGTTGAGGTGTATTGTTGAAGCCCTATGTTCCACTCGGAACCCAAGGGAACCATAAATAAATGAAAATTTGTTATTCTTCAAGGAAGAATCAGCAGTAAGCTGATAGCTAACAGGAAGGCGAATAGGGTCATGCTGTTTGTTCCCAAGCGTTGATCTAATTCTCTCCGTTAATTTGACAAAAGTAGGATACTTTACATCAAAGTGCACCTAATTTGAATATGATTACTTGAAATTTTCTTGAGCTTATGGATAGTCCTTTTATGAAATCATGAAGAGATGGATGTACTCTAGATTTTTGCACTTCTCCAGTCACTTGACATTATTAAATTAGACTATTACTTATAGTAGTTTCAAGTTATTTTCTCTAGCTTAATTGTATTATTTCCAGTCTAGTCTCCGTAATTTCACCAGTAATCTGAACTAACAGTGTTTATTAAATACAACAACTGGCCTCATGCTTAAATTCCAGTCAGTTAGTTAAAATCCCCTTGTGTTATGCTTTCGAAAACGCCAGCCACTGTAAATACTCTTGTATAAAATGTAAATAAAAGAATCTAAACTGGATGTTCACTGGCCTGAATCGTCAAGATATTATCCTTCTGAATATCGCGGAATCCTCCTCACAGAAATGGAAATCCTCCTATAACTAGAAATCACGACTTTGTTCTTAGAGAGAGTTTATGAATATTAGGACGATTTTATTCAACGTATTATTACTACAAATGATTAAGGCATTCAAAACAGCTTACATCTATTTGCGGGTTTAAAGAAAGCACCCAGACATTTTACAAATATCAAACAGAAATACTTGTTATGCAAATATTAGAATATTTATTCCAGTATATTTAAAATTTTACGAGTTTCCAGTCCGTAGATGTTACGAATTTCCTGGAATAATTTAAGCACCAAGTCAGATTGAATCATTATAAATTATTTGGAAAAATCTTAGCGTGTTTAAGAAAAAGTCCCAAAACAAGGCGTGTTTTTTGAACGTTTCACTGTGTAAGCCACAGCTACTTCTTCAGCAGAATTATTCGGATTTTATTGAACATAAAAATATCTAGCCAATTTATGTAAAATTTTTTGACTATTTATTTTGATGATTAATGAAATCCGAATAATTCTGCTGAAGAAGCAGCTGTGGCTTACACAGTGAAACGTTCAGAAAACAGATCACGTTTTGATATTCTTTTTTTTCTTAAACACACTGGGATTATTTTAAATTAGTTATAATATTTAGGATTTTATTTAATAATATACTTCTAACATCAATAATTTCTACTTTCAGACAATAACACCAGCCCCTGGCACCTATGAAAAGTATCAGGAGTACAATGTGAAACCAAAATTACCGATATGTCAGCAACCTTTTACGAAAGCCCCAAATGTAAATCGTCATTTTCGTGCAGATGTAAGTTGGCACAATTATTTTCTTTTCAGGGTCAAAGTTTTGATTTAAAATCTCAGTGTCGAGCAAAGCATCTATCTATCTATCTATCTATCTATCTATCTATCTATCTATCTCTCTCTTTATGTATATATATATATATAATAGTTTGGAACTCTTCATCCATGTGCACCCGTGCTCACACCAAGAATCGAACCAACGACATCCATCAGGTTACGAGGACATGACGTCGATTACTTATGAAAAGTCCCAGACTAGTATGGTACAGATTTCCAGGGCTTTTCAGTGATACCCTAACTGATGTTGTTTCATGAAAAAAAGTCTTCATTAGAACGTTTTATTCAGTGAAAGCTCAATCTGGACAAACAACAGACTGAGTTGAAAGAATTTATATATATTAATAAACTATGAGAAGATGGTTGAAGGTGAATGGTTCTTCTATCCAATGTTTCGAATTCGTTATGACTAAGGTTGTAAGGATTGCGTTTTTACGGTTATGGTCTGAATGAAAGAGACTGATCTCTGCGTTCTACTGTATAGCTGTAAGTAATAACTTCACTGAGACATGCACTATCACAAAATGTTCCAAACGCAGGGAAAAGACGACTATTCTCTAATACTTTAGCGGTTCTGTTACACAATATTAACATCAAACTCAAAAATTGCTGTAAGACAAAATTAGTTAACCGAAGAAGTTCAACTGTAAATGACAGCTTAGAATTAAAGGGGAATATTCCCAACGAGGTAGGATCAAGCACTCTGTCCTCCAGAATCATACATCAAGGCTTCCTGAGAACAGTTCCAGGGTCAGAATAACCTTCATTCAGTCAAATTCATATTTTTTTAAACAACACATTGTCAATACATATACAAGAACAAATATTTCAAAAGAATAGACACGGACCAAAGAGTACTCTTTTCGATAACTTCATCACCAGGTTCTACAATTATATTTACATTATAATGAATGAATTAGTGTTATGAACAACATTAATGCCGTTGTTTAAATAACATCGAATCAATAATATTGATAGATTACAGCTGAACAGTATCAACATAAAATAAACTGAATGTCAAAAGAATTAGGAAAGGTAATAGTACAAATTCATGAGTTTATAGTCTCTTCTGAGGGCCAGGGCAGTAGTAGGGGCTGGACTTGTTTCTTTTGGACACAGAGCACTGGTTGTTTGAGGCGAATTGCAATAGCCTCTGCTGTTTGGAGCAAGCGGTGCTTCGACGATTTTGGTAGTTTGTTAGGCACCCGGTATATTATGGAGAAGGATTCGTCTACGCTGGCTTTGTGACGGTTTGCACCAGATGGTCTAATATCAAACTGTTAATGGTTTTAACTACACCTTTACTTAGCCATAGTGGGAGATGTTCCCGAGAGAGCACGTAAAATCAAGTTCCTAGAGCAACGTCCAACAAATATGTATTACAATTATAGATTAAATAAGGAGAAAGGTATATAATAAAGGTCAAAAATCAACATGTGATATGCAAATGTCAAATTAATGACATACAGTCTAGGAAAAACAACTAGACTAATTACAAATTTTAGTTGAAATGTCTAAATAAGCATAAGTATTACGAGGAATTTTCTTCAATAAACTGTCTATTAAAAAGGTATTATTGTTAAAGATCGGTTGGTCGGTCGGTTTTCGACATAGAACTTTGCACATATGTGCGGCAGTTCAAGTCGCCACACTCCCTCCTTGTAGCACACAAAGCAAGAGAAGAAAGTAGGAGAAATGCATAATAATATAGACAGTAAACAGAGGTGTGAGACTAAGGAATAGTAATAACGAAGAACAAAACAGTTTAATTGGAAATCATGAGTCACAAGGAGTGGATGCATCTGCACCAGCCATTGAGAACGATTTTGAGCCATGTCACCAATTGTCTCCAACCATTGGATTTTACCGTCCCGAGGACCCCAACCAGGAGGCCAGTCTACACCTTCCTACGTGGCTTAGACTAACTGTTGCGGATTTCATTGATTGGTGCCATGTTTTTGTTTGACGGCCGTTGGCTAGCTCTTTTCCAGCCTGACCCTATATCAGCTAACATTGCCCATTGTCGAGGAAGGCGATGACTAGACATACGTAGCACATGTCCTAACCATCTCAGTCGATGTAATTTCACAGTCTCGTCGACTGATTTCCCCTCCTTATCTAGCACTCATTCCATTGATGCCTAACCTCAATATTGCTCACCCTATTATACCATTTCACACAGGAGAGAGAACGCAGACAACTGTGATCGAAGACAGCTAATCTTTTCATGTCTTCTGCTCTCAATGGCCAGGTCTCACAGCCATAAGGGAGGACGGAGCGGACTGTTGAGCAGTACACACGCCCTTTGGTCGATAGTCGGGTGTCACGTCTACGCCAGAGACGGCGTAAACTGGCATATGCGAACCTAGCCCTCTGTATTCGTGCTGAGATTTCGTCGGAGATCAACCCGTTGGCACTGGCTGATGGTACTTCCCAAGTAAGTGAAGTGGTCAACGTGCTCTACCACTTCACTTCCTATTTCTAATCTAAGGGTCGGTGAAGTCCAATCCTGCAGCATCATCTTACATTTTACAGGGGCGAATCGCATGCCAAACATACGAAGATTGTTGCTCAAGGTGTTCAGTAGACTCTGCATTTTGTCAGCGTCCTCACCTAGAAGGACTATATCGTCCGCATATTCTTAGTCGACGAGATTATTCCCTGGAAGCAAGTCAATCCCTGAGTCGCTGAAGTGTGTTAGGGTTAAGTCCATTAGTACGTCTATGATGAATTTGAATAGGAATGGGGATGATGGGCATCCTTGACAAAGATGCTGAATTACAAGGTTTATCAAGAAGAAATCACTGACGGTAAACTGTGTCTCCAATTTTATTCCTCCTCTTAATTACATCTTAATTTCTGTTATGCCGGCACAAAAAGAAACTGCTAGTTTTTTCTCGAGAATCTGAAGCAATTTATAGAAATTATCTTGAAATAGATCACTATTTTATCTATATAACACAGTGTTTAGAATTAATCCTCAACTTTTGATTGTTTTGTGTATGTTTCTCCATCGTGAAAGTAGAGGATTGGTCTGTTAGAAGGCAAGCTATATATATATATATATATATATATATATATATATATAATTGCTTCACTGACACCATATATCTCACTGGAAGAAATTGACTTGCGACTGGAATGTACATTATCTATGCTAAAGTAACACCCGATAGTTAGACATCGGCGGGCTGAAGACTTCCTTACAAATTTGCAGAAGGGAGGAAGGAGATGGATTGGACATACACTCAGAAGACATTGGACCGACATCACAGACCAGAATGTCGAGTTGAAACCGAGTACAGAACAACAGGTTGGGTATCCGAATTTGATATGGAGGAGATCATTAGATGGGGAAGAGGGAAAATGAAATACTGTGAGAAGTAGCAGTGCAGATTCACAATAATGGTCTGGCAGACGAAAACAAGACTTGGTAACGAACGTTTTTGTTAAGGAAAACCCACCAATATTCGCATATTTCTAGCTACATTAAAGGTCAGTTAGGTCAGTGCATTGGTTATCCAAACACTAAACCTTGAGGCAAAAAGTTTTTCAGAGAGACTATTCCCTGACCACAACGTAAGCTAAATCCAGATTTAAGGGATGAATACTTCTACTTATGAAGACATTAACTTAAAATGTTGTTTTCAATTTTGGTTACTTCTCCTATCAACCTATATCTAAATACTATTGATAAATCTTTTCAGTAGCTCACACCACAATAGCAGAGAACTGAATGCTGTGGAGATAGGCCACTCGGAGCACCATAGATGAATGATATGAGTTTCATATCTGCTACTATTGTAACAACAGAAGACAAGGTAAAGGCAACAGATCGTTTACTAAGGAAATCAAAGCATATTTATATATTTTCATGTAAATTATTATAGTTTAGTTAAGCACTTAAGTTAAAGCACTTAAAGTTAATCTTTCATCTCTTTGTGACTGTTTCTTGAATGTCAGATCATCTATATGTTAACTGTATCCGCCTACGCAAAGTCTGCTGTGGTCGGTTTTGAATCAATCTTTGTTCATATTTTCTAACGACAAATCTTGAGAACGTAAACATTAACGTAAATTACTGTCTACCAATTTGGCTAGTAGACAGCTCTCACCACACTATAATAGCTCGAAATCTAGAAACAACTTTCTTCAAAACTGATAACGTAGAACAATCAGTGGATTTCTGAATGCTAGTTACTTCGCCAGACGCCCCTTTTGATATAATGAAAGTTCAGTAGATATATTCAATACAAAAATTTGAAGAGAAATCATATAAAATAGCTTTCAAACACTCCATGTTCACAGTGGTTCATTAGATGATTTATACATATAAATATGTATATACCTCAGGAGAGAGAAATCTCTAGTTTGCTTTCACTTCACATTTCAGACTATTTATGTTGGACCTGGTGTATATGACTTTGAAAAGTTCTATAAAAGATCTACTGTAGTAGAATCAAAAGGACGTTTTGATACAAGCAATGAATCTAGGTGTAAACCAATCAAAGTTGGTTATATGGCTAGACTGGTAAGTTTGGTATTTTTTTTTCAAAAAAGAAGATGTTTTAAGGCAAAATTAACTGAATACATGACTGGCAGTTATTTTGATCTCATGTGATCAAGTTGGTTTGTAGAGATTTGATTGGTTTAACTTATGATCATGGATTGATGTCATTTGGAGAACCATTGGAAACTGGCAGGGGGTGTACTGGATAGCTGAAACGAAATGAAATCTTTACAAACTAACTCTTGAAAATTAACCTAACTGGCTACAGGGTAAAGATACATGAAGTTTTAGTTAGAATTCGTGACCAGTGGGGTCCAGCAGGTCCGGTGTGATGACGAATACTTACCTGTGACATTGGCTGATGCCACTCGCGTTCAAATCACAAATTGGTGAAAGTTAGGATTCATGGGCTACTGGATCGGTTTGCAGTGGCTAAATCACCAACGAGCTCACCTTGTAACCTGAAGGTCCTGAGTTAGAATCCTGGTGCGTGCGTACTGATGAAGAGACACAAATCAGGACGAAACGAATTTCCAGTGCTTTCTGGATTTTCAGTGCTTCTCTAGCTGACATCAATCCATGATTAAACTTGAACGAATTTTAGTTTATTTGTGTTTCGTGTATCGAAGTCAACCAGTATGATTGTGAAGCTTTTATTCACAACTTCAACATTATCAGTTAAAGCATATGTTTAGAATATAGATAGTCATGTTTGAATACTGAGAATAAAAAAATGCAGTCTGTGAGACTACCTGAGATATTGGCATAAAACTGTATACTGCTAATTGATTGATTAGAGTAGTTATATGATTTCAAACCGAGTAAGTTGCTGATGAACCCGGTCCAAAACGAGCGAAACGGCCGTCAAGCGGTGTTGAGATCACTTCGATTATCTGACTAGCAAGCCCTACTGGTTAATGCATGAGTGGCACACAACTACTCATCTCAGACAATCAGTAGTATGTATGGTTTTATGCAAATATGCTTGCCTTCTTGATTACCATTCATGGTATCAAGGAGATCGCATGTTTTCACTTGAATAACTTGATTTCCAGAGGAAACTACCGTGAAATTTCACCACTCAAACTGGGTAGCTTGCAAATTGTGAATTCGGTTTACCTGAGATATTCTTAGACTGACAAACTGATGATAATGATGTAATGAGTGATACTCGTAGATGAAAGGAAAATCTGCTTCTCTTGCAGAGTTTGCATCAGAAACCTCTGTCAGTTAAGCTACTAACTCTAGATGCTAAACACGTAGGCATTTCATTACAGTTATTATGGCTTATGCTAAGAGTTCGGATGAGCTCTTATTCTAAATTATATACATAAATAAATACAGGTTTCAGCTTAAATAGATACGATCTAATTGTGTTCTCAGTCATTTATCGTCACAATGGGATAACTGAGTATGTATGCTCTACAATAATGTGCAATATGCTGAAAGACTTGATATCAATGATGAAGGCTCCAGTTTATGTTAGAAAAAATGAAACTTGAATATGCGACTTTTCCTTTATAAAATTAAGTAGATAATTAAAAGACTAAATGGGATCTCCGATGATATTTATGATATTTGTGGTGGACTGGATCATACAACATATTGTGGGGAGCGAGAAAACGGTCATACATTGGACAGACAAGAAGATACTATAAGATATGAACTTCAAGGATGACTTGTATCTAATGTCACAAAAAGTTGAAGATCCATAGGCGAAAATGAATAAATTTTCAAAAGAGACGGAGAATGCAGGACTTCAGTTGAACACAGAGAAGACAGAGGTGGTGAGGGTATGCAGTAACCAACAACAAGAAGCACCAATTACTATCTGTCAACTGAAGAAATCTGAAGAGAGTTACTTCTTTCACTTATCAAGTCAGCATCACTCCAACTAAATGCAGGCGGCTCAGAGTAGGATGTCAGATGTGTCAAGGACGGGGAAAACCAGACAGATCTTCAGTAATTTGAGACCAGTGTGGAAATCTACTCCAATCAGCTTGAGAAACAATATCTTGATCATCAATACTAATGTCAAATCTGTTAGTTCTTATACTTGATTCAGAGAGTCAACGCATCACTAAAAGCATTCCCAGTGGGCTGCGCACTTTCATTAACATCTGTACCCAATGCTCGATGCTGATGCTCAGATGGTCGGCCAGTAAGGACAAACAACATGAAACTTTCGCAAGTAACCAACGAAGAACCTATCGATCAATGAATATACAGAAGAAAATAGAAAAAATGGATTGAACATCCGCTGAAGAGACCGTTGAGTGACATCATGCTCTAGAGTGACCCTCAAGTGAAGGCAACAAGGGGGGATGACTGACTGTGATACAGAGAAGGTCGTATAATAAGGATGATGAAAGCTTGTGTGAAATTGTGGAGCTGGATTATAAAGGACTTTAGAGAACAGTGTGAAATGGACGTGTGCTGCTGAAGTCCTGTGTTCTACTCAAAACGTAGAAGCAGAGAATCAGTCGCTCAAAAGATGATCATTGGGTACTCCTACTTTTTTCTCAGGATGTCACTAATTTGATATTAGTTTCCTGGACAACTGGATTTCAAGAAATAATTAATTATCACTGCCCGACTAAGGCTTTAAAATAGAATGTAATTAAACAAATTACATATAATCTAGAAGAAGAATTATTATTGTTGTTGTTTCCTTTAGTTCCTACAGGAAGATAGGGCTTCACCCACACGTCTACACTGCATTCGACTCTCCGTCAACGTTTTCACACCGCTCCACGGCTGCCCACATGCCTTCATCTCCTCTTTGCATCACCTCCTCCTCCATGTCACCCTCGCACTGACCAATAACTCACTGCTCCTCATTCGCCTTCCACTCGAGCGATGGCCTGGCGTGTGATGGATGTCAATTGATGCTTTTCTCAGAGTATATCCAATCCATCTCCATTTCTTCTTGCCTATTTGTTGCGCAATCGGTTCCTGGTTGGTTCGCTCATTGCCCGAGATGTCTGTTACTGATCTTTTCTGGCCATCTAATCTTGAGTATTGAGCGAAGACAATTGTTGATGAAGGTCTGTAGTTTGATTGAGATGCTCTTTATGACGCGCTGGCCAAGTTTCTGATCCGTATAGTGAGTAGCACTGACTTCACATTGGAGTTAAAAATCTGGATCTTATTTTTGATACTGAGTGCTGTTGTCCTCCACACAGACTTGAGAGTAGTGAAACCTTGTCTTGCTTTTCCGATTCTTACTTTGATATCCTCGTCAATTCCGTCTGTAGTTGAAACAATGCTTCAGGTAGGTAAAGGAGGTTGTTTCTTTCAGGTTCCTGCCATTTATGCTGATTGTTGTTTGTTGTTGTTGCTGTTGGTGGTGTTGCCCAGGAATCTTCATCACCTCTGTTTTCTCTATGTTCACCTGAAGTCCTATCTTTGATGCTTCTTCTGCCAACTTGTTGCTTTTCGCTTGCATATCTTCCAGTTTGTGGGAAATCAGACATATATCATCAGCGAAGTCCAGATCCTCCAAGTTTTTTGTATGAGTCCATTTGTCTTACTCTCGTCTTCACTTCGAAGGATTCCGTAAGTTTCCCGTTGTGGATTACTTGGCATGCAGCATTGTCGTACAGCTGTTGGATGAGATGTATAATTGTCGGTGGCATCACTTTTAACCTAATCTCCTTTTCTGCATCTAATATCGTTTTTTCTACAGATTAGACAAATATTCACATCAATTATAATGAAGGTTGTTTTTGTATTTACCAATGAATGAAAAACAAAACGATATTGTTTTGGGAAATACAAAAACAACCTTTATTACATAATGAATATCATATACCGAATGCCCAAATTTTTTCAAACCGTTAAAAGTGAACTTGGTTTGGACATATATATAGATATTCACATCATTTGTATTTGATTAACCTCTCAACATTGAATTACTTTTCTAATAATAACTAAAGAATTGTTTACACAAATATTTTTCATCCATCTTTCAAATATAAACTAAACTTTTAGGGCGGAGGGCTTAAATAAATGCATTTTGTTTTTTGAAGTACTCATTTTTTTGAGTAAAAACGATAAATTATATTTTTGAAAAATACCCTGTCGAGAATTTCTGTGTTTCCTGTTAATTATTAAAAACAAACACCATACACATCACAGGTACATACACAAAATGGGCCAAGGCTTACAGATGCCAAGTCAAGTATTGATGACCTGTTATCACCAAAACACGGAAATAGGGGGAAATTTTCTGAAACTGAACGTAAAACACTTCAAGTGACACATCAAGTAAGCATTTATACTTTTTTTTTATTGAAAAATATTTTGATTCATTCTATCGATTTTTTGAGAATATGACTGATTTTATGATGTGAGTTTGTAACAATTCAAAATCAGGTATAGAACAGCTTGAAACACAAGAGTGTTCGACGGTTTTTATTTCTCTAACTAAGGATTTTAGAAAGTGTACAGTTCATATCTTGTCAATTGTAGATCCTAATTGGACACTAGTAACTAGTGTGACGTGTCTAGTCCTTTCTTTGGTGCAGACTGAATTCTATCAGTCAGGTATTTGCAATAAGGCCACCATTCTAAGTAGCTCGCCATCAAGGCTTCCTGCAGATTGCCTCCAACTATCTATTATCATCAAATCAATGTGCACCCTGATGGCGAGTTACCTGGTGGCATGGTGGCCACATTGCAAACATGACTGATAGAATTCAGTCTTCACCAAAGAGAGGACTAGACGCATAACACTAGTTCATAGTGTCAAATCAAAATATCTACTACAGTCCTACAGGAGGTCAATCGCGAGCCCGAATAGCTCAGTGGTAACGTCTCTGACTGCAGCACTGGGTGACGCGGGTTCGAATCTCAGAAGGGACATGAGTTCCTTCAAGGTTGCAGATACGCCTTGCTGGCGAGTGAATGCCAACTAGCACGTAACCTAGGTCCAAGGCTTCCTGTGGCCGATTGCCTCCAACTATCTAATTGTAGATCTTATGAACGTTATTTTTGTTTATTTTTGGTGGAAACAATGT